TGGTGTGGCAAGACTCTGAATGTTGCCAAGAATCAGAGATAACATGAATGTAGTACTGTGGAGGATGTGGTTCAAAAATTGGCACCATGAAGTAAAGTTTTTTAAGTTCCCCTCTAGACATCCACTTTGTCAAAGTGAATAGTTCTGAGTGATAGATGTTAGAAACAGAAAAGAAGAAGAATAATTTGAAGAAAGGTTTATTGCTTTCTCAAATAATACTGTATGTACAATGACCTATATATAGGTGTTTACAAAGAGAATATTCTAAGATATAAAATATTTACAATAAGTGTGTTCACATCTTAACATTCCCCCTCAAACTCAAGGTAATTGTGATGAAACCAACTTAAGTTTGGAAAGAAGAGTATGAAAGCATCTAGGAAAATGAGCCCTAGTGAAAAGGTCTGTTGGTTGATTAGCGGAACCAATGAAAACCAAATGAACAATTCCTCGTGCAACATGATGACGAACAAAGTGAGAGTCAACCTCAATGTGTTTAGCCCATTCATGGAAGATATCATTTTGAGCACTTTACATGGCACTTTGACTGTCACAATAAAGATTAGTAGCAGGCGGTTGAGGAACACCATATCTTCTAATAGCCAACGTAAGTTAAGTAACTCTGATGTGTCATCCCCAAGTGTTCAATATTCAGCCTCTATGCTAGAACAAGATGGAGTTGTCTGCTTCTTGCTTCTTGTTATGCAAAGAGATTAAGGAATCACCAAGAAAAAGACAATATCTAGTGGTGGATTTATGATCATTAAAGTCTTCAGCTCAATCAGCGTCAGAATAAGCATGAAGTTCAAAGATGAATGAGCAAAAAAGTGAAGTCCATGAAAAATGGTACCTTTAATATAACAAATGATGCAAAGTACTGTCGCATAGTGACTGGAGTGAGGCGTAGCCATAAACTGGCTAACAACATGAACTACATAAGTTATATCTGGTCGTGTTGTCGTGAGATAAATCAAACTTTCAATCAATTGTCTATAGTGAGTAGGATTAGCTAATGGAGAACTATCTATGGGCGTAAGTTGAACATTTAGCTCAAGAGGAGTATATGTAGTCTTACTGTTAGTGAGTCCAACTTTAGATATAAGATTAGAAGCATATTTTGTTTGGGAGAGAAGATAACCATCATTAGAAGAGGTGACCTTAAGTCCTAAGAAATAGCTCAAAACGCTAAGATCTTTCATCTCAAACTTATGACTGAGAAATTGCTTAAAATCATGAATACCTGAAATATCATCCCCAGTAATGATCATATCATCAACATAAAGAAGTAGTAGAACCATACCATGATTAGTCTTGTGTATGAACAAC